GCCTCGCGGGCTGGCCCCGGGACTCCTCCCCTCGCCGCGGGCCCTGCAGCCCTTCGGCCGGGCGCTGTCATCAGCGCGGCCCAATGACGACGAGGCGCGACCCTTCCCGCCCAGGACCCGGAGAGACAACCCCGGGAGAGCCCGGGGCGGCTTCATTGCTGTGGCCGCCGCCGCTGCAGCCACAGCTCCTCGGCTCTGCGGAGACAGGCGCTCAGCCCAGCTCTCCCAGCACCCCGCCCCCCGGGACGGCACCTAACAGCAACCCAGCTGGCGCCCGCCTCTGGACTTGGCTGGCCAGACACTTTGTTCCCGGGGCCATCGAGGTCGGGGGGAGCCAGGATACGCGGAACATGGAGACCGGCATCCCAGCCTCGGAGCAGCCTGGCTGCACCAAAGGGGATCCGCAGGTTTGCTGCCTTGAGGATACCGGGGGCGCTGAGGCTGTGCCGGCTGCAGAGTGGGAGAACCCTGAAGACGGTGGACCCCAAAATGAGCCGGGCTGCTGCAACCTGGAGCACTCTGGGCAGCTGATGGCTTCCTTTGAGGGTGAAGCAAGGGGATACCAGGTGCCTCCCTTTGGCTGGCGCATCTGCCTGGCTCACGAATTTGCAGAGAAACGGCAGCCCTTTAAGGCCAGCAACGTCTCCCTGGGCAACATGCTCAAGCATGTGGGCATGGGCTTGAGGTGAGTAGACCCGATGCTTAGAGAGCCTTTGGTTTCACTTTGTCCCAGCGCAGAACTTCCAGGGGGTGGCCCCTACCCCTAGCATTTTCCAGGCCCGCGGTCTTGGTAGGTGAGAGCAGGTCACACGTCTTTGCATCCCCTCCCCCCACTTCTTCTCAGCTTCTTGTCTTTGTAGCTTTCTGAAAAAGCCTGCAGCCAGCCGGCCCTACTCAGCCTCCTCCCGCTCCCTGTTTTCTTTTTGGGATCAGTTATACTTTGTAGCCAGGCAGGAAAGAGAGTAGCTGCTGCGGGACTGACACAATGTAATTTCTTGGGAGAGGAGGGGCTGAGGTTGCCCTGAGCATCTGCGGCAGCCTTTCCACCTCACTAGGGCACAACCGGTGTTCCCTGCACATCTCGCCCCAAGCTTCAGCTCTAGGGAGCAGGGCAGAGCCTGCCAGCTCCTAGCCCTAAGGAGTAGGTGGGTAATGAGAGGAGCAGGTTGCTCTGTCCTGGCACAGGTAGCCCCTAATGGAACAAACAGGCTTCTCATCAGAGAGGCACTGCCATAGGTGTGTGTCCTCCAGAGTGCTTGGTGGTGTCCTGTTGGAGCCTGCCCGCTTCCTTGTCCTGGGCTGTAGAACTCTAGATGCCTCCAGATGGACCCTCACGGAGAGCAAAGACTAGTGACAAGGAGCCAGACCTTTTGCCAGGAGCAGGTGGAAGTGAAGGCAGAAAGCATCACCTTGAAGTCATCCTGCGTCAGGCCACACAGTAAACACAGAGCTGAGAAGGGAGGCATAGGGGCTGGGAAACCCAGCTCTGATGGTCCCTAAGCAGGGGACCCTTCACTTGCCCCTCAGGGCTGTGGGGCTTTCCCTAGCCCTCAGCAGCAGGAAGGGCAAGGGCTGCCTGGATGTCTGGCTCCTTTGCTGGGCATTCCTGTCAGTGACCTGGACCAGAGAAGAACCATCCCTCCAGGCTGCTTCTGAAGCTGACCTAGCCAACGTCGACCCCAAAGCCTGTGGGTAAACTAGGATCTAGGGCCAGGAGCCTGATACAAGCACGGTGGGGCGCGTGTGGTGGGACTGTGAGGTCAAGAAGTGGTGGGCATCCGGGTCCCCCAACTCCTAAGTAGGAGCTGAGTCATAGAGGCCTGAAGCCGTACTCAGCCCCCTGAACCTTGGCTCCCCATACCAGGATAGGGTAGGGGTCACTGACCTAGGGCTTTTGGAATGGGATGAGGGGAGTAAAGGGGTGAGCCGAGGAGGAGTTTTGAAGGCTCATCCTGAGTGGAGGCCAAAGTTAGGGACTCAGCCCCATAGGCTGGGAGTGGCAGCTGCTTTCTGAATCCCTTCAGAAAGTGAAGGAGAGAAGCAGGAGAGAAGTGGCCTCTGAGAGGGAACTCCAGCCAGACGGCCGCAGGCTGCAGTGGTGAGAACTCAGTCCGGCTGCACTCTTCTAGCCAGAGCCCGTTCATTTCTTCTCTCTCGCTGACCTAATGCCCATTGCCCCCTTCCTCCACCCACCGACGCTTCCTAAACTCTAGTTTCAAAGTCCACTTTCCTCTGAGCTGCTGGAGAGGGTCTTTGGCCCTCCTGTCATCTCCTCCTCTGTCGCCTTCCCTCCACCCCCGCAGCCCACCTGCCCCGTTCTTTAGTCACAGTTGCTCCCCTCTCTTGTCTCTCTATTTGTTGTCTGAACACTCATTCATTTGTAAATTCAACAAATATTTACCAGCTGAGACCTAGCCCTGCCCTGGGCTTGGAGCCCTGGTAATATTCAACTAGTCCCTGCAACCATCCGTTTCCTCCAGAAACCTCAGAGTATGTCAGGCTCACATGAGTGATGTTGAAATAACAAGGCAGCATCTAAGGAGTTGAGACAGTGTGCGGACAAGCACACCCAACACAGCTATGCCACTTGATGGCTTTCCTACCTATTACGTCATTTTTTATATCATTTGATCCTTTCAACCCTTCCAGGAAGCAGGTCAGGCAGGAGGTGTCCCATTTTGGAGATAAGGAAACTGAGGCTTGGTGGGGTCACTCTCGTGCTTATGTGGTTAGAAGTGGCGTGGTTCAACAGCGGGTATCCCGTGCCCAGGGCATGGAGGAGATTGGAAGTGGAAGAGTCTGGCAGAGAAGGGGTTGCCTAGTGAGGGTCACCTTGAGGGGGAGCTTATAGGAAATACGAGGAAAGGTGTAGAAGGAGCTTCCAGAAGAAGGAACAAGCTCTCTTGGAGGAAGGACAGCTGGCATGTTCTTTAGAACGAGAATGGCCAGACTGTCTCTCATACTTTGGTCATGTTAGAAAGGACCATTCCCTGGAGAAGGATGTCATGTGGGGTAAAGTGGAGGGTCAGCAGAAAAGGGGAAGACCCTCAACGAGATGCATTGACACAGTGGCTGTAATGCTGGGCTTCGGCATGGCAAGGATTGTGAGGCTGGCACAGGACCGGGCAGCTTCATTCTGTTGTGCGTAGGGCTGCAGTGAGTTGGGACTGACTCGATGGCATCTAACAACCACAAGATCAAAGGTAGGGCTACGACAGACGTGAGGGCCTCGAGCCCCAAAGTGAATACTCGTCTACTGGATATACCCCAAAGGCTCTGAACAGGCTCTGACAAGACCAGGGAGATGCTAGGAGTTAGGAAGCTTTACTGGGATGTCTGGAGACCACAGGAAGCTTCCAGTTTAAATGCTGCCCTAACCAAAGACTCAGGAGATACCCTGAAAACAGTAGTCATCGATGAGGTTGTTCCCCTTCTATTCGGTGTATTTTCCAAATGTTCACCTTTTATAATCAGGAAGAAAATAAACACTTTAAAGAGAAGAAAGCTCCATATCAGTTCTCGTTGAGGGTGGTGACAGAGGCCAGGACACCATAACTGGGCCTTCCAGTGCCTCAGACAAGGGCTCCTAAGGTTTGAACAAAAGCAGTGGGATTTGAGTTAGAGAGGTGAGGAAAGATTTGAAAACCCTTTCTGAGGCCACTAGAAAGGAGGCACAAGGACAGTTCCACTGTGAGGTAGGGTGACAGGAAAGATGAAGGGACAGTGGACCGTAGAGAAGTTCACAAGAGGAGAGGTTTGGAAGAGGAGGTGATGGGTCTTGAGGCCATTTGGTGGGAGGTGACAGGTGGGTGTGCAGAGAGAGACAGGTGACTAGCCTGGCAGGCACCCCCCACCTCCCCGCCACCCCTCACACTGCCTCCTGCTCCTCAGGTACTTGCGATGGTGGTACCGGAAGACCCGGCTGGAGAAGAAGACACCGTTCATCGACATGTTTAACTGCGTGCCCTTGAGGCAGATCTATGGTGAGCCGCAGCCCGCCTCTGCCCTGCTGAGACAGGGCTCGCCCTTCCGCTCTGCCACGGAGCTGGGGACAGTGGCTTCCCACCTCTGTGCGAGGCGCTGCCTCACCCCCTGGGTTTTTAGAGGAACCCATCCTTACAGTCCAGAGAGTGAAAAAGAGGCCTGTTGTCTTCTCCTCATTCCGCCACTCATCATGCTGATTCTCTCTCTAGGTTGCCCGTTGGGTGGCCTCGGGGGAGGTACCATCACCCGTGGCTGGAGAGGTCAGTTCTGCCGTTGGCAGCTCAACCCTGGAATGTACCAGCACCGGACAGTCATTGCTGACCAAGTAAGAGCCAGGAGGTGGAAGAGACAGGAAAGACCTCTGGGCTAGCACAGGACGTGGTACTTCAATAAGCACTTCCGAGATGCTGTCCGTGTGCCAAGTCCTGCCCTAGGCTGTGGGGGAGGAAGGAGACTCAGGGCATGCAGACCCTGGAAGAATAAGGGGGCCTGGCACCCCTGCCCTCCGTTTCTCTAGTAAGCGCCTCCTGCCTCTTGTTGCCCCACCTCCACCAGCTGAGCCCATAGCCAGCTACAGAGAGTACATAGACTTCCCGGATCACTTCACAAGGATGAAAGAACGTGCATGTGGTAGGACCTTAAAGGAAAACAAAACCGAGTTCTACAAACGTGATAAAGAGTGGTGCCTGGAGCAATGCCCGCCCTCCTTGGCGTGCCAGCTTTCAGCTGAAGGGCAGCTCCCCGCCAGGGCTTACTCCTCACGGCTCTCCCTGGCTTGGGGCCTGGAAAGCTACCCTCACCTACATTCCGATGGCCAGCTTCCTTCCCTTTGCTGAAGCCACTTCTTTCTCTTCCTCACATCTGGGCCAGAGCCTGGGCCTGCCTTTCATCCTTTTTGGTGACCTCCTGTTTGGAGTTGCCCACCAACTTCCTGTCTCCCGTCAGAGGGATGTCTCCGCTTGCAGCTCATCTGCAAAGAAGAAATGACGGGCAGGCCTTGGGCCCAGTTAATGACAGTGCCCTTCCCAGCTCAGGTTTCCCAGCCCTGCCCAGTGCCCCAAGCTTCCTCTCTGGCTCACCCCTTAGGTATCCTGAGGGGAATGCCCTGTGGAATTATGACTCTACTGAGTAATTAGAGTAGCTACCATTTACCGCGTGCTACATGTGTGCTGGGCGCTGTACTGGCTGCTGTTGGTATAATATTTCAGATTAAAAACAGTCCTCCAAGGTACGTGGTGCTGTTACCTGCAGTTCACACAAGGACACTAAGGTCCTGAGAGGTTTAGTAATGTCCCCAAGGTCACAGAGTTGATCAGTGGGAAGGCTGGGATTCTCACTGCAGTAAGAGCCTGTGGTTCTAAACATCATGAGCTATTCCAATAACGTGAGCGAGTAAGTGTTTTGTGTCCAGTAAAACTACCGGCGTGAACCCCGGGAAGAAATACCAACCCCTCATAGCCCTACCCTCCAGGAGCTTCAGTTTGAGAGAGATGGAGTGTGGGAGGCCACTCCAATGCCAGAATGGGAGGACTGGGTGATGTCCTGAAGAAAAAGGCTCAGGGCTGAGACTCAGCCATCTTCTAACACACACACAGCAGTTCTGCCATGGAGTTAAGTGAAAGATCCATTAATGAACTGGAAGGGTTTCTACCCTCCAAGGTCCCATAGAGCAGTGGGGACAGGATGGTACACTGTAACACTGCACTGAATGCTAGCGGAGGGTGTGGGGCACACAGGACAGTGACTCACTGCTGGAGGAAGCGGCGGAGGGGACGGCATCTGCCCTAGTCCTGGAAGAATGAGAGGTCTCTCCAGGTGAACCTGAGCCCATGCAGAGGCCTGGGTGAAGGAAAGCAGGGTTGTGCTCAAGGACGAGGGAGTATCAGCCTGAATGGGGACTGCCAGGGAGCGGCCCCGATGGAGAGGGGCCCAAGGTCCCTAGGGTACACGGAGCACAACTAAGGAAGATCTCTGTGGTACCCAGGTGACGGAGTCCAGGCGGGATGGCGGGGCCCAGATGAGGGCA